GAACCCCGGGGGATGTTCCTCGCACAAACCCCGGGGGATGTTCCTCGCAGGAACCCCGGGGGATGTTCCTCGCAAATTCCTCGCACGAACCCCGGGGGATGTTCCTCTCCCCTCTCCCGCCCCGCCCCTGGCTGAGCGCTTCTCCTCTCCCGCAGGTGGCCCGGCGGCTGGGCCGGGTGCTGTGCATGGCCGGGCTGCCGCTGGCGCTGCCGCCGCCGGGGCTGCGGCCGGAGCGGGAGGCGGCGGGCGAGCTCCGCCCGGCCTCGGCCGGCAGCGCGGCCTCGCCCTTCGTGCCGCCCAGCCGCGGCTCCCCGAGGCAGGAGAACGGCGGCGCTGCCCTGCTCGGCGACACCCCCAAGGCGCCCTGCTGACCCGGCTCCGAGGGACGCCGCGCTCTTTTGGGTTGTTTGTTTGGATGCATTTGCTTTTTTTTTTTTTTTTTATTATTTTTTTTTTTTTTTTTTTGGGGAAAATTAAAAGAAGAACCACGGAGATTTTTGAACTGTCAAAATAAAAGAATGAAAAGGAAGGAAGGAAAATGATCCAAAGATGTTGTCGTGGGACGACGCCGAGTGAAGAGGATGCTGGAGGATGGAGGCAGCATTCCCATTCCCTTCCACCCTGCACAGGGAATCATGGAATCATGGACAGGCTGCTCTTCGCCTCCAGGAGCTGCGGGCTGGGACTGCCAGGGAAGGGAAGGGAAGGGGCTCTGCTGCTCCCAGCGCTACTTCCAGCAAAAAAACCCCAACCCATCCACGCCCAGCGCAGCCAAGCTCTGCTCCTCCCTGCCAGCTGGGCTCCGTCCTCATTCAGGTGTTCTATGCATCTCTAGCAACTTTGAAAACAATACCAAAGACAGACAAAAAGGAGAAAAAGACAAAAAAAAAAAAAAAGACAAACACGAAGCAAGTTCCCGTCCATGTTTACTGGTGCGGATGGTACAGAGCCACCCTGGCCTGGCACGGGGCGGGCACAGCAGCGGGCACAGAGGGGACCCGGCCCTGCCCCGCTGGATTTGCCCCGGATGTTTGGTTTGCTGGGGGCAGGAGGGGCCCGGGGGGATTTTGAGCCGTGCTCCAGAGGTGATGTTCTGCTGGAACCACGGGCAGAGTTTTACTACTGTGAATGAGCTGGGAACTCCTGGGGTGACCCCTCCTGTGACTTGTACAGTTGTGAGCAACAATCACATGTGGTACTTTTGTCTCTTCTCCCCCCTCCCCAACCCCTTTTTATTTTTGGGTTTGTTTTTTTGTTTAAACGTTGCACGTGCTGCCGTTTTTCTTACAGAATAGCTTTGGTGGTACTTTAGCTTCTTTATATTGTAAAAAAAAAAAAAAGGGAAAAAAATTCATTAACCATCACATCACGATACAAATGCTTTCCAGCAATCAATTTAAATAAAAAAGAAAAACACTTAATTTACAAATGGTACCTGGCTTGACCCAAGCAGTCTCTGGCCTTCCTTTTGTGCCTGGAATACAGCCCAGGGTTGGTTCCCAGCTGGCAGAAGGCAGCCAGCACCTTGCCCAGCTAAGGTAGAGCCAGGAGAAAAAGGGAATTCCTCTCTCTTTGGGAAGAGCAGGTAAGTGAAAACTTTTCTTTACAGTTAAGGAGGTGCAGTTCTCACCTGGGCAGTGCTTCCTGCATTACCAATTTTGCCTTTCTTTATTCATTCATGCCTGCACGTGCCCAACCCAAGAAACTTTAATTTAAAGTTTCCTTCTGCAGCACACGTGGAGCAGGTTGAACTGCTCAAGGCTGCCGGGGAAGCTGCACCGCCCTGGCAGAGCCTCTGCAGTCCTGCAGGGCACCAGGGAGGGTCTGGTGAGGCCCCAGAGCCAAATCTGGACAGAACCCTCGGCCTGCCCTTGCTCTGCTCACTCAGCAGGAGCTGGGGGTGAACCCTGGGCTATTGACCTGGCCTGGGGGTTTATTGGTACCAAAACCAGAAGGGGCAGAAAAAGCTGGAGGAGTCCAAGCTGTGCCAGTGAGCAGGTCCTGGGTGGCTCCTGGTCCCACCTGTGTGTCCTGGCTGAGCAGCTCCAGGTGCTGCAGAGGGGCTGCAGGGCTCAGTCCTCGTCAGAAACCTGCAGGTCCTGCACCACGTCGTCGCCGCCCTGCGCCAGCTGCTCCAGGTCGGAGCGAGACAGGCCCCGGGGGCAGCTCCAGCTCTCCCGGGAATCCTGGGCTGCTTCCTCGGCTGGGGAGAGGAGGGAGAGGCGTCAGTGACCCGGCAGAGTGCCCCAGTGAGCGGGGGGGAGGGGGGGGGGGAAGGAAGGAAGGAAGGAAGGAAGGAAGGAGGGAGGGAAGGAAGGAGGGAAGGAGGGAAGGAAGGAAGGAAGGAAGGAAGGAAGGAAGGAAGGAAGGAAGGAAGGAAGGAAGGAAGGAAGGAAGCCTTCCTGTCCAGACGGGCACAATAGCAGAGTGGAGCCGCTGCACGATGAGCGATCTCTGTCCAAGTTGAACCCTTTAGGAAATCCTTGTGACATTTCTTCTGACTGTCCTGAGAGCTCCACCCATACTCAAACATGTCACACAAAACACTGTTGAAGACAGCACCCAGAAAGGCCCCAGGGTGCTGTCACCCATTCCCCACTCACCCTCTGAGTCGCTGTCCTCTTCCAGTTCTTCCTCGTCCTCCTCCACCTCGTACCTCCCTTCTCCATCCTCCTCCTCCTCCCCGAACTCGCTGCTCTCCTCTGCGCTGTCGTCCGAGGCTCTGCCTCTCCCTGAGGGTTTCGGGCCTGAGGGGACATGAACAGAGCTCACAATCTGAAGGGGAAATTTCCCACATTTCTCACTGGTATCCTCCCAAAACCATTTCCATTTCCCTTTGCTCCAGAGGCCCAGCAGCTCTCCCTGGGCTCTTCCCAATCCCAGCTCTCCGTTCCTGCCAGAAATGCAGCAGGAACTCGCAGGAGGGCCAGAGCCTCCCCAGCTCCTGCCTCTTCCCTGCTCAGCCATTCCCAGGCTGGATTCTCTCCCCTCCCCAGCCCGGATCCCCCCTGGAGCACCCAGGAGGGGCTGCACATTCCCCACACCCCCAGCACATCCCAAAGCCCAGGTGGAACAGCAGATTCATCCCCAATCTCTGGGAACCTCCCAGGAGGCTGCACAATTTCCTGTGGCCCTCTCGTGGTCACAGCCCAGGTGACATCAGCCCCTGCTCCCCAGGGTTTCTGGGCTTTGGGAATGCTTGGAACATCAGTCAGGATAAAATAAAAATTAAATAAAATTAAAAGAAAAAAAAAGTAACATAAAATACAATATAAAATAAAATAACATAATTTTAAAATAAAACAAGAATTTAACAATACATTTAAAATTAATAAAAATAAGAAAATTCACATAAATTTAAAATTCCATTAAATTACATTAAAATCAAATCAAAAAATACATCAGAAGTGCAGCAAGGACAGGATCAAAGGTCCTCATGCTGCTGACAGCCCCTGACATGCACAGAACCTGCACAGGCCTCTCTTCATCCCCTGGTTTTTGGGCTCTGACCTTGTGGGTGACACAAGGAAGGTGCCAAGGGTGTGGGGCATGCCCAGGAAAAGAAACATGGGGCTGAGGCTTTCAAAAGAGCTGCACTGGGAGGGAGAGAGGGATAAAAGTGTCCCAAACACCTTCAGTGCCATTTCATCCTTACCAGGGAATCTTGTGAACCCAGCATGGAACCCCCTTAGGGCAGGGCCAAACTGACCCCCAAAACATGGAATTCTGGGCATGGAAAATGGGATTGGGGGCAAGGAAAGTGGGATTGAGGGCAAGGAAAATGGGATTGTGGATAAGGAAAAGGGGACTGTGGATAAGGAAAGTGGGGCTGTGGGCAAGGAGAAGACAAGCCCAGCCCTGTACCTTTCACAGAGAATCCACCCCTCTCCTCCTCAGAATCACTGTCCAGCTCGAAGAGATCCTTGAATTCCTTCTTATCCTCCTCCTTCCTCTCATCCTGCTTCCTGCGTTTGATTTCTGGGAAGTTCAAGTCTTCAAGCTGGAACGGAAACAAACGCCAGGGTAAGAGCAGCCCTCCTTTGTGTTTTCAAAGGCCAGAGGCTGTGTTTGAGGGCAGGACCTTGGCTTTGCCCAGCCCGCCCAGAGCAGCTGCCTCTGTCTGCTGCCAGCACAGGTTTGTGAGGGGTCCCGGGTGGGCGAGGCACACGGGGCTCTGCTCGTCTTCCCCTGGCAAACTGCTCTTGCTAATGCAACAAAGGTGCAGGGTATCCTGCTCCTGTGGCAGCCCTGAGCTGGGGCTGGAACACCTCAGCATCTCTGCAGCAGCACTTCCCTGGTTTTGGGTGCAGATTTCAGCGATTCAGGTGCTGAGGGTGCTCAAGGTCTGCATCCATCCCCTGCCCTGGTGGAGATGGATGGGCCAAGAGCCCCCGAGCAGGCAGCCAATATCAATGCCATGGAAGGCCTCTCATTGACACCACCTCAGTGCTCTTTACACCTCTCCGCAGGGGGATTAGGGGGGGGATTTACTCGCAAGGCCTCAGGCCAGCAGGGCAGAGATAATCAGAATGCAAATGCAATCCCAAGTGCTCTCAGAGATCAGCTGCCCCTGCCCTGCCTGGCTGCACTCAGGCATCAGCTCACAGCAGGGCTTGCTTGGGAACACCCAGCCCGGGGCCATCACTCACTTGCTGCCCCTGCCACCCCAAAACGCTCTCCTGTCCAGCCAGGGAGAGGGAAAGCACAGCCACAGGGCCAGGAGGGGGCTGAGGAGCAGCACATGGAGCTGTGGGTTTGCTCCTGCAGCCAATTCCAGCAATTCCTCCCAGGGTTATGGTTCCCAGCTGATCCTGGAGCTGAGCACTTCCCAGCACTGACCTGGGATGGGCAGGGGAGGGCAGAGGGGAACAAATCACACCCAGCACCATTTGAGGGGCCTCATTTGAAATCCTCACCTTCCCACTGCTCCTTCTGCCCCAGGGAGGGAGAGGCCCCTGGGCTGTCCCTGTCCCCATTCCCTGCTCCTCCCTGTCTGTGCTGGGCACCTCAAAATGAACCCCCAGGATGGGCACCTCAAAATAAACCCCAGAATGGGCACCTCAAAATGAACCCCCAAAATGGGCACCTCAAAATAAACCCCAAAATGGGCACCTCAAAATGAACCCCAGGATGGGCACCTCAAAATGAACCCCAGGATGGGCACCTCAAAATAAACCCCAAAAATGGGCACCTCAAAATGAACCCCAGCTTGCTGTGGGGTGACCCCAAAGGACTGAGATTTGCACTGGCACAGCCCCTGTGCTCATCACACACAAGCACTAATTAGCTAATTTGGGGGCCAGCCTTTTAATCCCCAGCTAGAGGGTTCCTATCTGCAGATCTCAGCAAGCTGATTAGTCCCCATCCCATTAAAAACCATTGGGAAAAGCAAATGGAATGGGCAGAAAGGGTCAGAGCTGTTGTCTAAGGCAAGCTGCAGCTCCCAGCCAGGCTGCCTTTCTTTTTTTTCCCTGTTATTACCTTTTTTCCCCCCAATGGCTGCTAATGGGACATGGATTTTCCCAGCCCTAATGGGCCTCATGGTGTTCCCTCTCCTGCTGGGGCTCACAAAGCTGCATCATTAAGCCACCAGTCCCCACCGAGCCACACAACAGCCCCATTCACCAGCAGAGCTGCCAGGCAGCCTGCAGGACAGCAAACCCCAAATGTGCCTCTCTGTGCTGAGAGCAAACCCCAAATCTGCTTCTCTGTACAGAAAAAACACCCAAATCTACCTCTCTGTAGAGAAAAAAACCTCAAATCTGCTTCTCTGTAGAGAAAAACCCCAAATGTGCCTCTCTGTGCTGACAGCAAACCCCAAATCTGCTTCTCTGTACAGAAAAAACACCCAAATCTACCTCTCTGTAGAGAAAAAAAACCCAAATATGCCTCTCTGTAGAGAAAAACCCCAAAACTACCTCTCTGTACAGAAAAAAAAAATCCCAAATCTGTCCCTCTCTGCAGAGAGCTGCTCCAGCAGCAGGGCCAGTCTGGGGCAGGAGCTTGGCCCCACTCTGGGCTGTCCCTGTCCCCAGTCCCCGCCTGTCCCTGTCCCCACTCCCTGGCTGTCCCCTGTCCCCAGGACAGCCCTGCTGGCCCCACGTTCAGGATTTGGTTCTCACCCTCTCCTTGCCACTGATTTCCAGCTGGATCTCCTTCTCCCTCAGCTTCTTCCACTGCGTGTAGTACTTGCTCAGGGGCGTGCCCTCCTCCTTCACCTGCTTCTCCCACTGCTCCTGAGGAGAAAGGGGGGCGCATTTCCAGGTTTTCCAGGCACTTTTCCAATAAGCACGGGCAGTCAAGGGCACAAGGTGAAGACCCTTTCCCAAATTGGCAGCCACAACTCAGAGGCAAGCAGGACTAAATGAATTTCGCCTCGGTTATTTGAGCAGCTGCTGAGTCAGGAGTGCTGGGGCTGGGAACTCTCCCCCGGGCGCTGCAGGGACACACAGGGAGCCAGGGGCTGAGGTGGAACCTGGAAAACGCAATCCCGTGGTGCCACAGGCAGCACAAAGGGGCAGCACAAAGGGGCAGCACAAAGGGGCATCTCTGGGGGTCCAGAGGATGCTTCAGCTCATGGCTGTCCCCGTGTCCCCAGGCTGTCCCTGTGTCCCCAGGCTGTCCCCGTGTCCCCAGGCTGTCCCCGTGTCCCATGTCCCTCTGTCCCCAGGCTGTCTCCGTGTCCCCAGGCTGTCCCCAGGCTGTCCCGCTGTCCCCATGTCCCCAGGCTGTCCCCGTGTCCCCAGGCTGTCCCCGTGTCCCATGTCCCTGTGTCCCCAGGCTGTCCCCGTGTCCCCAGGCTGTCCCCGTGTCCCATGTCCCTCTGTCCCCAGGCTGTCCCCGTGCCCCCAGGCTGTCCCCGTGTCCCCAGGCTGTCCCCGTGCCCCCAGGCTGTCCCCGTGTCCCATGTCCCTGTGTCCCCAGGCTGTCCCCGTGTCCCCAGGCTGTCCCCAGGCTGTCCCGCTGTCCCCATGTCCCCAGGCTGTCCCCATGTCCCCAGGCTGTCCC